CTATAAGAAACAGGGCTCTATCATAAAATTATAACAACACGAGGTCTAACTAAACCCCAATATCAATAAACCTTATACGATAATAATCCAACCTCACACCAGTTATAAGTACAGATATACATTACTTACACAATGTGGAAATCACTCACTTTATACAAAACAAATGTGAGGTTTACCTAATAAACCTCATCATAGTTAGCATACTTTATTCACAAGTCTATTTTCCACTAGGTTTATATTATTCCTAAAAATTTTCCTGCTAAATTACAAAATTAAAAGAATTTCATTTCATGTACACAAAATGTCACACAATTTCCCTCATTTATACATAATTGTAACTTTACCTCAAAGTTTCCTTCGACATCATACAGTGATATTTCCAAATTGAATAAAGGTAATTGGATATTATACAATTAAAATGTCCTTTTTTCTTCTTCTGACATAAAGATAAACTTCAACTCGTAACAAAACCTTTAGTGATCCTCAACACTTCAAAACTTTAAAAATACACTGAAGAAATAAGTTAACTTTAACCTGTAACACAAGCAAAACAAATTTACAAAGTGCCTATCCTTGTTAGTTATGGACAAAAAGTAGAAGCACAAACTAAGTGCTGCCTTCTGCAACTGCGAAATACTCATTAACATCGACAGGTCTCAGGTATGCCTGATGGTGGACTTCCTCTCGAATCAGCCTGCCATCGAGGAAGGTTTTGCAGAAGATCTTCTCTTCTATGGTCGCAACTTTCATCCTCTTCCCTGGTTTCCCTTCCTTGTCTCTGTCAGTCTTCTCCTCATGCTCTGGGCTGGCTTGTGTACCTGAGCTCAGGGACATCATGGACCTGGGTAAATCGGGAGTCTGATGCTCCTTCCTCATCAGATCTAAGATAGAGCGAGGCTTACCTCCCTGGTGGAAGATTGGTAGGCTACGATGAACCTGCGACTGGTCAGACGCTGTCGAGTGTTCAGCTGCTGTATTCATGGCTGGACTCTCCTGAATGCTGGACTTCACTAGTGGACAGCGGAGGAGAGGTGATACGGGGGTCGGGGAGAGTGAAATAACAGCTTCTCTCATGGGACTTCCTCCTGTCCCTGTCATCGTCGGCTCTTAATTGGCTCGTCCCGTGGTCAGAACTCTTCTCTGGAGAACTTTTAATATTATTTACAATTTCCCCAAATCATATCTATATCGTGCAGGGAGCCGCTGTTCCCTCTGAGGGTACCTTCTAGGAGCCTCTTTTGGACCATTTTCACCTTTCCCCTTGTCCTTATTTCCTGCAGGATCAAGTGTTGGAACCTCAGGGGGCTCCTCACTTCTTCCCTGATACTTACTCACTCCATCATCCACAAGTTCTCCATCAGTAGACTGGGGACCCTCTACTATTTCCTGAATCAAGGGTTCCTCAACCACCTTTGGCCCATATCTCTATGGTTTTAGGGGCTCGCCAAGGTACAGCTTGAGCCTGTCTCCATGGACCTGTAAGTTACGTCAGAGAGTTTCTTGACCACCAAAAATGGTCTATCCCAGCGAAGTTCTAACTTTGGGGACCTCCCCTTCTTCTTGGACTTATTGAAAAGCCAGACGAAGTGACCTTCTATCAGTCCTTGTCCATGCACCTTGCGGTCATAGTTCCGTTTTTGGTGCCTGGCACTTTGTTTGAGGCACTCTCTAGCTTTATCATGAGCCTCCTGCAGATTCTGTCCCAACCCTTGTGCAAAATCTGTTTTCACCAGGTCCTCCACTGTAAGACTTTCAATTACCTTGTTTCCCTCCCCAGCATCATCATATTTGGGGACTCACTAGTCAACTCTTGGAGAGTGCACCGATACGCACAACATGCATATGGCAGACACTCGTCCCACTAACGCTGTCTCCTCTTCGGTCATAACCGCGACCATGTTGATCAAAGTCTTACTGAACCATTCAATCAGTCCATCGGAATTAGGGTTGTATGCTGTAGTTCGAGTTTTTGATATGCCAAAAACCTGACACATCTCAGCAAACATGGCTGACTCAAAGTTTGTCTCTTAGTCTGAGTGCAATTCCAAAGGAATCCCAAACCTACAGACAAACTCAGCGACAAACTTATTTGCCACAGTCTCAGCCCTGGCATTGTGGAGAGGACACGCCTCCATCCATTTGGAGCACTAATCCCTGACCACCATGATCCAAGAATTACCACTGTCACTCTGGGGCAATGGCCCCAGCAAGTCCACAGCAACTCTTTCCTTGTGCTTGCCAACCATGTACTGTTGTAAGGGGGAAACTCTCCTCTTTGCAGGAGACTTCCTCCTAAAACGCAGTTCACACTGTCTTCTGAAAGAGCTCACGTCGGCGGTCATTCCCGGCCAGTAATACCGCAGTTTTACTTTGGCCAGTGTCTTTGTAACACCCAAGTGACTGCTCGTCCAACCACCATAAAGCTCACGAAGGACCTCTTCTAAAAGTTTCCCTGGAAGTACTAGGTGCCACCTGACTGACTTCCCATCGTCGGACTCCCAGCTTCTGCAAAGCACCCCATCGCTCATTTGCAACTGGTCCCAGACAGACCATAGCGTCTTGTGGGTGGCCGAAGTGAAACAGTTTCTGAAAGAGGTCTACTGCCCAGCTCCACTCTTAATTTCAATAATTCAACTCATACTGGGATCCTCCAACTCATGTTGGGATCCTCCAGCTGTGCTTGTCTGACAGCATCCTAAGACATACACGGTTGGGCAGAGATATCCTTCACTTCATCCTTTAGGACCCGAGGATCAGCAACAACCTCTCCCTGATCCACAGCATCATCAGGAGGTTTAGTGCTCCCAACACCCTAGGTACCTGAGGTGCCTCCGCTACCTCCTCATCACCATCATTCCGACCACACTGCTTACAGGTCTTTCTGGACAGCCCACCGACATTCCCATGCTTTCGTCCAGGTCAGTGTTGAATGGTCAAATCATACTCACTGATGACTTCAAGCCATCTAGCAAGCTGGCCCTCGGGGCTCTTAAAATAAAGCAACCACCAAAGGGCATTATGATCAGTGTGAAGGACAACCTTCCTACCATACAGGTACTACCTGAACTGTTTTAAGTATACCACCACCGCCAACAGCTCCCCTCGCATAGCATAATAGTTCTTTTCAGCTCTACCCAGTTTGCGGCTGGCATAGGCCATAACTTTCTTTTTGCCTTCATGGACCTGGGACAAAACTGTCCCTATTCCAACTCCACTAGCATCCGTATCTAGGATGTAGTCACTGTCTGATACAGGGTAAGCCAAAACAGGTGCTGTCTGCAACTTCTGTTTAAGCTCCTAAAATGCTTCTTGGCAAGCCTCTGTCCAGACAAATTCTCTTGCCTTTTCAGTCAAGGCATGCAACAATGAGGCCACCTCAGCAAACCCATGGATAAACTGCCTATAGTAGGAAGTGAGGCGAACAAAGCTTCGCATTTCCTTCACACACTTAGGTGTCGGCCACTCAGCCAAGGCTCGCACCTTTTCAGGGTCCGTAGCTACACCCTTTGATGACACAATGTGTCCGAAGTAATTAACCTGCTCCTGGAACAAAAAGCACTTTATTGTATTTCACTATATTTTCTCTTTTCAAGAAGAGTTGGAATGATCACGCTTCTATTTCCAATGCTGTGATATTATTAATCTGATGTGTATCTGGTATTTGTGTGTGATGAACAAAATGACAAAATGAAAACCTCAACATCAACATCACAATAATCTGTGCATTCAATCAGCCAACACTATAGACATGCTTACTGTCAACCTTATTGGCATGCTTACTGTCGACGTGGCAATATCATGTTGAAAACATTCTGCTATGGGATATTCTGTGGACTTGAAGTACATACCCATTATTTTTGGTAATGATCAAATGTTGCTGAAATTGTGCTTAAAAAATCTCATTTTTGATCTTATCATGAAGTCACAGAATTTTGCAAACAACATTCATTTCTACTTTAATTATTGAAGGGCTAAAAGAATGCAATTGTTTTATTTAGAATATATGTTAAAATAACTCATAGAAACATTTAAAAATAGTTCATTAAAAAATCATGTGATGTCGTTATGACATTTGAGTAATATGAAAAGCTTGGGATCAGAATTGATGGTGGATACCAAGTTCCAAGTTGATATATTGTATTGTCTTGAAGAAAATATGGGAGGAACTTATCAGCCTGAAAAAAACAAACAGTGACAATAACTAGAGTTTCCTTTTTGACAGCATTAAAAATTTACCCAGCTTTGACCTTCCAGTAATCTTACAAGTAAAAATCAAAGAAATCGAGCACAAAACACAAAATATGTTACCTTTTTTAAAACTCAAGATTTATCTGATCCCAAATTATAAACATTACACCTTTATACCGTAGACCATTATATCCTGAAATACAACTGAAAGACTAAGTCTTTTAAATAACGATTATTAATACTTGATATCATTGTGACATCACCGATCGGAGTAATATGCACTCCTAGTGATCGGGATGGATATTTGTGCAAAATTTGAAATGGATATATTGCACAGCCTTAAAGAAAAGTCAATGTAAATTATTGCATAGGAAAGAAAATACCATAGACTCTACCCATATAGGGTACAGTAGGTAGTTGCGATAAAGGACAAGAAATGCACCTTTCACAGTCACCCAACACATGATGATATCATCATGAGATTTGTTGCACAAATTAAGCATAAGGTATAAAATCTGTGGAAAGATTATTTTGATACGGTATGCATCATAAAAATAAATCAAATCCTAAGAATGAAATAATAGTGCAATATATTGGATTTGTGGGGATGGAAAAGGGAAAAAATATCCCCCCCCCAAAAAAAGGCACTGAAGCCATATCTTTGAAAGTCCCAAAGTGTAGAAATAACATGACACACTCTTGATAAATTAAAACAAAGAACCTGTGGGGCAGGTTTACACTACAAACTATCCCCCAAACATACATTTTTTATAGTTTTCTGAGGAAATGAGTAACAATTACATACACAATACCTTGTATCTGATGAGGGTCTTATTTGAGAAAACATTGTCTCAATCACTTTTGCTTTCTGCTGGAGCTGTAGCAAGGCTTTCGTTGCATCACCTCTTTCATCCAAACTGTTGATAACTAAGGAAAGCCTCTCTAATTCCTGTAACATAGAATTGAAAAAGTCATCAAAATTTAACAGATGTGTCAATACTCACCTGATGTCCACTTTAGGGTAACAACAATCAACTGATTCACATAAACTTAACATTTCAGAATCATCTCCATACCACCAAAATTGAAAATATAATGTTTACATTTCAAGTAAAATCACATCACCCTTGATCTCAGATTAGTTTCTGATAAAGATACATGTTATAGATTTTGTTAAGTTCAGTTTCTTAATTACACACTGAATAATGTGACCATGAACTACAGCAACGCTCTTTTATTGCATAAATAATAAAAACATTTCTCTCTGAAAACACACAAGGGTGCCCTTTGGCTTTTCTTGTGTTGCTGTCATGTGGGCGCGGCCATGAATGATCACGTGACTGGGCTTTAGTGTTTGGGTGTGCAAGTTGCTTGGATATGAAGTGTCCTTATACAAATTGGTTAAACTTTAGGCCAATGAAATTGCAGTTTTCAGTGTTCCTTTTGCTTCCCTTATGGGAAAGGTGGCAAGCCTCACTTTTGGACAGCAGGTGCAACCAGTTGCGCCCCCAAAATTTTTTGTGCCTCAGGGTTGACTAACTTGCAGACGTTTCTTCTTGAATTGATCAACAGTTGGATTATACGTCTTTCGATTACACATGGGTGAATTACTGGTAGGCCTGGTATATTTTGTAGTAGGCCTACATCAAGGAAAAATCGCCGTTGGATTTTGTGGTGTAGAACAGTTCACTTCTGCGGGCTGTTGCCAGACTGCGCCATTTATCGATTCCTTGTCATAAAGTTTAAAGTTTTCACTGTCGGGTGTCAATTTTTCCTCGCCTTTGGAAATCTACAAGTCCATATATGCTGTTTTCCCTGTGATGTTGCGTTTCAACAGACAGTGCAATAGACAGACTCATCGGTCACCTTCACCGTATGCCAGCGTGCGTCACCTTGGACCCATGTGACCGTCGTCCACAGGCCTTTATGGTGCATGAACTACGAGGGGAAACATCATTTTCTACAAGCAGGCAGTTGAGGAGAAGCATACTCTCATCAGACACCCAGGGCTCATGTATGCAGTTGTCGTCCCAGCAGCTGATTCCAATGTGCCACCATGGCCACCACTCATTGCTACGTGCAGTCAGTGGAGCAGCACACTCAGCACCCATAAATGTCGTCGATGTCAGGGCAGCTGGTTCCAATCAGGAGTGGAAAGGCAGCAAGCCACCGCTCATCGCTACATGCAGTCAGTGGAGCACCGTACTTTGCACTCACCAAGGCTGTCGATGTCAGTGCAGCCGGTTTCTTGCACTGGGTGTCCAACTGCTACCAGCAGTGATTAACCGGTGTGACTAGTGGTGAGGCTAGCTTAGAAGGACTATTGGCGGGCTACATCCTCATCTACTATACTGGACTTGTTGGTTAACAATTTGTATACTTTTAACTGTATGGTAGTCATTTTAGTACAGGGTTGGTGTACGTTGCATCCAGCTAATGCCAACGATTTTGTGCTGAATTCCCTGCGCTGCAGCTGCAATGGCGCGTCTTCATGTTCAGTCAGCACAATGAAGCTACGTACAGGCACTAATGGCGATTTGGGCTGCCGCGCTGGGCATACAGATTGCTAGCCATTATCAGTGGTTTTGGCCAGGCTTGAGTCAATCATATGATTTATAACAAAATAAAATAAATATATAAAATAAAAAAATAACAAATAATAATAATTAAAAAATAATATGATAATTAAAATAAAAAGTAAGTGCAAATATTTTATTTACATGTAGGCCTCACCCCTCATCTGAGTGAGTTAATAATAATAATCAAATCAAATTAAATCAAACGGGCCTAAGTAAAAAATAACTACATGTTGTCTCCATCACACGAGGGGGGCAAATGTAAAAACCTTTCAAGTCATGTGCAAACATGTGCCATTGAACGCAGAACTAATGAGCACATTGTACGCCTCCTTCTGTAATCAACTAATCTTGCAGAACACTGAAAAATCTTACAATAAGTGCACCAGTTTTCGTGGTTCACATGCCCATTAGTTGGACTATATCATCCATTTTCCTGATCAGTCGGAAACTGCTTCGCTTGTTTACAGTCTGTCATAAGGTTTTTCCCTTTATTTTGGATGTACAGGATTTCTTTTCCTTAGTCCGCAGCGTACAAGGACCATATGCAAGAACCAACACGAACTTCAATTAGGCCAATGAGCTTGACATTTATTGGCCTGCTCCAATTCTTAGGTTCTCTCCTACTAGGCTTGCCCTGAAGTAGAGACGCGGCTGTTTTCATTTTATCCAACATTTGTCATAATCACAACCTTTAATCATATGTGGTCCTGTGAACGAATTTGTTAGTCATGTGGACTGCAAAATCTGTTGCGTGTGTTACAGCCGTCAAACTCGCTATGTCTCAGAGTGGATGAAGATTTAGGCCTAAACATGTGCTTCTTGACTGCTTCCTGACACTCCTTCTGACGAAGAGAATGTTGGTTTTCAGTTGCCAAATTTAGCTTCACAATGCTAAGCCTTGGCTGGCTTATTTTTGTGCGCTGTCAGATATAAATAGCACTATTCAAATTTCATGTTAGCGAGTTTGGGGGCATATGCAGCCTCCACATCACATTATTTGGATTCTCTTTTATTTAATGAATTCAACGGAGCATTGTGATGTACTTATCAGCACTGTAAGGTTTGATTGCAGCTCAGAGTAGTGCTCATGAAGTTGATGTTGGAAGGCCCTAATTGTCATACCAGAAAATTCACGGCTCAGTTTGGAGAATGATATAACAGTAGCAAATCTGTGTGTCATGAGTTTAGGTAATCGCCCTCAAAGCAAAACAGAGGAAAGTTTTTGTAAAAAAAAATAAAAGCAAATAAACAAACAAACAAAAGAAAAGCAAACCTGTCACTTTCACTGAACTCTGTCTGTCATGCCACCACTCCCGAAGAGCATTTCATGTGAATGTATGAGGTTTACAAAACAGGATTTGGAAGCACGGAACATGGAATATGACTTTCTTTAAGCCAAATACATCTTGAAGACAAAGGTCACCTGTTTCCACAATTCTATCATGGACTTGCTTGTTCAAAGAGTTGCTTGTTGGAAGAATAGGGTTCCACTTTCCCTTTGGGTTTTATATTTTATATAAAGATTGGAAGTGCTTGGCTCATCGGTTTTCAAATAATTTTGGGTGCGCAGTGCGTTTTGTGCTGGGAAACCGTCACATCTCAGCCCATTTTATTTTTTTAAAAATAACAACTTTT